TTATTGCACTTTGGCAGCAGATTCCTGTGTAGCTTCAGATCTGAGTTGTCTTATTAGTAAGCCTCATTTATACTTTTGTAGCAACACTATTTGTATATAATGGCAAAGAAAGGGTTCAGTGTCTTTTCTTTTTTTCCTGTGTCATATGTGGCAGCACTGTTCAATGTTTCTTGAAAACATTACCCACTGTAGTGACGTGTGAATAAACTCCAACTCTGTATCAACAACACTGTTGTGTGACTTCAGTTAAATACTTGTATGTGTGTAGATTAGAAAGAGGTAAGATAAAGGATCTGCAGTATTTTATGAAGTATTAATTGTACAAAGGTCAGTTTTATTCAAGTAGAAGTGTGTATTTTACCTGTCAGTAATGGCTACGCCTCTCTATTTGGACTGGTAGATCTCGGCAGACTGGCAACTTTAAAAGTAGCTCTCGGTTCAAAAAAGGTTGGGCACCCCTGCTTTAGACCAAATGAAACTGAATTTGTGTCACTTATGCGCGATCAGTTTAATTGGTCCAGCCTTTGGAGCTGCAGGTTTTAACTTAGCGTTTCCTCCTCCTCTCTTCTCTTCTCCCCTCCTCAGTGCATCCGCTCATGGCTGAAGGAGCAGAGCACGTGTCCGACCTGCAGAGATCACGCTCTGATGCCCGACGACTTCCCCGAGCTCTCCGGACGCAGACGCCAAGCTCCATAACGTCTTAACTCTGATTATATCGCACAGTTCTTATTACCAACGTGCTTTTATCTTCTTTCACATGTTTTATTCGCCACTAATATCATTTAAAACTAATAATGCATAGTTGTTGTTGCATCGTTGATGTGTTCAAACTTATAATTTCTTTACATTTAATAAAGGACACGTCTTGTGTTTGAACTGGTCTCTGTCTGTGTCTGTGTTTGCCCTTCAAACCTCAAACTGTCAAATATCCTGAAGAGATTAAAACAAAGAGGTGGGAGAAGTACTCGGATCTTGTACTTGAGTAACAGTGTAGGAATACTCTGTTACAGTAAAAGTCCTGCATTCAAAATGTTCCTCAAGTAAAGGTGCAAAAGTATTATCATCAATATATCCTTGCATGCTGGGAACTGGGAAGTTCCTCTTTCCTTTCATCCAAAATGGCTGGCATACCAACAACAACATTTTATAGAGGGAGGAAGAGAAGGCAAATATTGTTGATTAATTGTTATTTTTAACATGAAAATCATATATGTTATGTGAGGAACTATATAATTAGTTCTCAAAGCAATTAAATAATTCAAGTTTTGAAATAACAGCTCTTTTATAAATGTCCATTCTAGTGGACTTCAGGACCATCTTCATGGACTTAATGACTCAACATTGTTGCAGGAGACGGAACTGAAGCAGGCATTTTCTGTACCAAATAGTTCAGGGAGATTCAGATGTTGAGCTCTCAGATGATGAGATAGATGAGGATTTCACACCTGGGATAGAAGAGGGTCAAGAAGAAGGGGAAAATATGTAGGAGGCTCCATGAGCGCACAGATTCTCCCCAACGCCGTTACGGCGCTCACAACAACAACAACAACAACAACAACGGGGGACTGCATCGGGTCGATGATCGTGTTGCTTTTAATCATACGAAGCCAGATCAAATTAAATAACGACTTCTCCAACCTTATACTTTTCTGCAGAGTGCCGTGGTTCATTGTTAATGTGTTTTAGCGGCATTTACATACCACTGCAGTGCCGCTCTTCCACCGGATTGTATTCTCCCGTTAGCTCCGGGTGAGCTCACACGGCAGCGGACGCTGTAAAGCAGGGGTGCCCACACTTTTTTGGCTGGTGAGCTACTTTTGAAATGACCAGCTCACCGAGGTCTACCAACCCAAAATAATATCCCAAATTGCAAGGGTTGCTGAATAACACGTTTTATTTATACATGGGATAACTACAATAGGGCTGTAACATGTAACCACACCTTGGAGCGCTTCTCTCCGCCATCCCAGCGGTGTGTTGCTGCATGTAGCGGCCGCGTGTGTGTAAACTGCCCCGCCCCCTCGCACACGGGGGAGAGAGATCTCGTCTCGATTGGAAAGATCAAAAATACACCGACCATAGACGCATTTGTTTTGTCTTTTTGCATATTAGAAACGAGTTGGCGACACTAAGACTTCGAGATAATGTTTGTGTAGCAATAATAGCCTACATGACCTTTCTCAACTCGCTACTCGGAGGGAAGTCGCTGTCATATGCCTTGTGAACACTCCGATAATGCCTCACCACGTTACCTTTCTTTGGCAGAGCGACGCTTGCTTTACAAATAAGGCAATACATAACCTTTGAATGTGACATCACAAACAAATATTCTTCCTCCCATTCTGGGTGGAAGTGGTATGTTTTTAGCTTTTTGCTCGGTCCCGCACTCATTTTGTTGTTTGTCTCTTTAACTTAATTTGAGTTTTCCCGGCACTTGACTGATTTTGTATCGCTTTGCATTCTGGGTTAACAGACTGGAAAGCGATTGGTCGTTTTTTCTGTCAATCAAGTAAACTCCTGAATTAAGTGGCAGGGAGGCCAAGGGAGGAGGGATCAAAACCTGTTTTGTCTATTTTAACAGAGCTGGATTTTTTTTTTTATGAATGACTCGCGATCTACCAGCATTACCCCGCGGTCGACGTACTGGGCACCTCTGCTGTAAAGTATTCACTGTATGACTGTCACACAAGCAGGGGATACATATCCCCAATTCCCCATAAGTGAATGTGTTGCAGTATGAATTGACGCTGTTTGGCATCAAAACGCTGCTATTAAAGTTTATCTGGTATAAAATGGGTGATGTTAGCATAGCAACCGAAGCTAAACTGACTACTTGTTGTTGCTATCCTATTGTGGCATAAGCCGTTTTCTACAGGCACATTTTACCGGCGTATTTTTCATTATGATTCTACTTGTGATAGTCGGACTTGACAACCTGTGCAGCCCATGTATTGATTACTACGGTGGACCTGAAGTGCGAGACACTACAGCATTTCAGAAAACGCCACAGCATTTCACATTGGACGGAAAGGGTATTCCTTTAGGGAGAACACTTGTTTGTGATTGGACAGAGCCAGCCAGAGAAGCATTGCTGTGATTGGTTGTTTTTGCTGCCAGTAAACAAATGACGCTTCGTGATTGGACAGCGCAACATGTCCCAACACATCAGCCGTTAGCTGTTAGCACTCAGAGCTCACAGCTCCTCATATCTGTTCAGAAACTGGACAAAAGTTAAACATGTACAAACCACAGACTGTCTGTGTCATGGCGAATACAGTCTCTGATTTATTTATGTCTGTATGACGTGAGTGTGGACGGAGCAGCTACAGGTGATCATGAAAATGTAGCAGAATAATGAAACTCTGAGGTCTTATTACACACATATCAGTACAATGATAAGTCTCTTGAAATGTGTTTCCTTCATTTTATACCTTGTTTTTCATTGGATGTACATGATTTTGACATGTCCCACACACTGCTCTGCTAACTACAGTGTGTGTAATAAGCATAGACTGTATATATAAAGGTAATAAGTGATTAAATGATACTACATTTAAAATTAAGGGGTAACTGCCCCATAAAAAACCCTCTGATGTTTTCAGTGACATCACTACCACCATTTTGTCTTTCCTCAATGGAGGCTGAGACATTGGCTAGTTGCAGAGTAAGTATTTAAACTTATATTTCATAATTGTAATCCTATTATGTGTGTAGTTGGATGTTGTCAAGCTTAACATGTCCACTCTGTCATAGTGAAATATCAATTAATATAAAAACCTTTCAGAAATTCGAAATATATTTGTTAAACAGTACACAGTCACCTTGCTAACTGAATCATGTTGCTAACTGAAGCTCCACCATGTGCTCATTAAATGCTAATTTAAGCAGCCTTCCATGACAGGGTGGACACGGTACAAATAGTTTGCCATAATTTCCTTATTATCCAAATACTTTCTCCATTAACTGAAATATATTGTTGAGAAAGGGAATTTAGCTTTCTGAAAATGTACATTTTATAATCACTATGTAATTACAATGTATTTACTCTTTGAATTGTGTCAATGACAGGGTGGATACATGTTGCTGTTTGCATGTACTTGCAGTTAATTTATAAAAAGTGCGGGAGCTTGACCAACATCCATTTCTAACTTCATAACATATACTTAATAAAATGAATATGAAGTTCAATGGAACATCTCAGCTTTTTTAATGGCAGACGGATGCAGTGGGAACACATACATCAAGTGCCTCAAGTGTCAGATGTATCTCTGCATTTCAAAAAAGGGCTCAGTATTTGTTGCATTGAGTTGTTGTGCTCTAATGTTGTCTAAATGTACTTGTATGTTAATGTTGTTTGTATACTATGCTTCGCATAACTAACACCCAATGTCCTCTACAAAGGACACACAATAAAACAAAAATACACTTATTTTTTTTTTGTGTTAGTCATTATGTTAATACCACCCTAAAGACTTGTGTGATCTAAACAAAAAAGGAAATTTGAAATGTTTTTCTTTGTGGGTCTCAGGGGGGTATACAAAGTCATTCAAACTAGCTGCACCTTTACCAGCTTTGAGAACACTTTAATGATCAATCATTATAAAACATATCATATCTATTATTCTGAAATGGACCAATTTGCACAATGACTACTTTTACTGTCGCTACTTTAAGTATATGATCTCAAAAGTATTTTTGTAATACTTTAAATCTTAATGTTAATTACAGAGAGGGGTGCTGAATGATCTAATTTGAATTATAAATGTAATCAAGCATATGAGGGTTTATTAAATATTAAGGGACGTTTAATAATCAAATCCATATATAAGAATTATATAAATATTATTTAAAGAAATACCTTTTTCCCCTGAATGTTAATGTGGAGGCTGCAGCGTTGGCCCCGCCTAGCAGCTTTCCCGCTCTCCGTCTTCTCTTAGGTCCGCAGTGAATATATAAATACTGCCGGTGAAACTGCTTCTACCCATTCTTTCTGAACGACCCGACCCAACAAGACTCGGAAATGAGTGGTAGAGGAAAAGGAGGAAAGGGACTCGGCAAAGGAGGCGCCAAGCGTCACCGTAAAGTTCTCCGTGATAACATCCAGGGAATCACCAAGCCCGCTATCCGCCGTCTGGCTCGCCGCGGCGGAGTGAAGCGTATCTCCGGTCTGATCTACGAGGAGACCCGCGGGGTGCTGAAGGTCTTCCTGGAGAATGTGATCCGTGATGCCGTCACCTACACCGAGCACGCCAAGAGGAAGACCGTGACCGCCATGGATGTGGTGTATGCCCTCAAGAGGCAGGGCCGCACTCTGTACGGTTTCGGAGGTTAAATACTCACCATCTGACAACAAAAACACAAAGGTCCTTTTAAGGGCCACCCATATCCTCAAATTAGAGAGCTCCATTCCCTCATGATACCGCATTAGTGAGCACTAGAAGTTGGTGCAGGCGAGAGTTTTGTGTCTTCTCTGAAAGTATGTTCAGGATCAAAATGTAAATAAAAGTAAGCACTTCGCTGAACGTTATCCCGCTTATTACATGGCCACATTCTCAACAAAGTAACGTTATGAATCCCAATATTAATTGAAATGGATTTAGAAAATTATTTTATTGATTTAAAAAATAGTTGTATTGATTTAAATTGACATGCATCCGCTAAGAAAAATAGTCCGTTGTTACCGTTTGAACTAACGTAGCAACCGCAGGAACTGCTTCGATAGCGTTTTTGAGGAGCTTTTTGATTACAGATTTGAAAACATCGCTGCTTGCTCTAAAAGTAGCACAATTCATGATGTCAAACCTTGGGAAGTATCTAGATATCCCTGCCCTAATGCCAAAGGAACTGCACACTGAATATGTGTCGCCGTTTGATGTCTATGTCTGGACCGCTGCGTAAAAAGGAGGGTTTCTGCCCGTTACTTCTCCGCTGTTTTCTTGTTCCTCTTGTCTTTTTCTTTTCTTCACTGGGGACTCATCAGCCACTAACCATTACTCCAAATTACTGTGCTCTCTAAATATATTCAAATTCATGTTAAAATCCTCCATGTTGCTATCACACGACAGCGGAAAACTAAAGACAATCAGACAGTTTGCTTGCTTTTCAAACTGTTACATTTGAAAAACAGTTGGAGCGTATCTTGTCTTCAGTTTGAAAAGCCAACATTAGGAACTGCTTGCGTTTTTGAGGAGCTTTTTGATTACAGATTTGAAAACATCGCTCCTTGCTTTAAAAGTAGCACAATTCATTATGTCAAACCTTGGAAAGTATCTAGATATCCCTGCCCTAATGCCAAAGTAACTGGCAACTGAATATGTGTTGCCGTTTGATGTCTATGTCTGGACCGCTGCGTAAAAAAAAGGGTTTCTGCCCCGTTACTTCTGCGCTGTTTTTCATGTCCCAGTTCGAAAAGCAAACTGCATGCAGTTTGCTTTTCGGCCCAACGGTATACAGTTAAATCGACCGGACTTCTTTCTGAAGGTGTGAGCGTCCTTAACAACGGTCAATAAGTCCTTGACAGCGGTCTGTCTGTTCGGTATTAACAACGTGTCACGTGTTCTGAATTGACCAATCAGAATCAAGTATTCAACTAAGCCATGTAATAACGACAAATAACATCCCTTGCAAATTAACATTTGGACAAGGACATGAACTGTATGGAAATACTGCTACGACTGCGTTTTGTGGTCAAAACAATAACTGATATATTTGCAAAAGGGATATAACAATGTGCATACTATGTTTTAAAAAGTGTAGGAATAATATCAAAGCATTACTGGAATCTGCTGACATGTAGAGCTGATTTGACTAAATTGTACACACAGTAAATACAGGTATATCTATATATAATACAAGTTTGCAACTCACATATCATATACATATTCCTATTATCGTATAGACCAGCAGTTCCCAACCTGTGGGCCGCGGCTCCCTAGTGGTCTGCGAAGGCATTGCACATTTTTTATTTTATGTTGTCCAGGCTAAAGACACAAACATGGACATAACAATAACATATAGGACATGACATTCCCACCTCAGACAAAAACAGAAGACATGAAGATATAGTCAGTAGGATCACTTCAACATTTCACAAACAAAAATAGGTTGACAACCAAATGCCACCAAAAACACAACATGGTGAGCATATTTATTGTTCCTTTAATCCCACTCTTCGTTAGCGCTCATTATTTCCCATTTCATGGTGTGTTGAGCCACCCTTTGATTTGTAATCTACTCTTCAAACACCTTAAATTAAGATTACTCCTTGATTGATTTAAAATATGTATTTTAGCCAGAAGAATAGTTGTATTTATTAACTGTGTGCGTCTTGTGTCTTCATCTAAAAGCCCATATAAAATATTTAAGGGCCGCCAAAATAATTTACAAAGCATTATGATTTGTGTGGAAACATTTTCATTATTAAGATTTTTTTTATTTTAACCTCTTTTCCTTTCTCTTTCTTGATCCTCCTTAGCAACGGTCATTACAGTCCTTGTCTGTTATCGTGGATTTACAACGTGTCACATGTTCAGAACTTTGTTTAGCCTCCGTATTGTTTATGGTTGAATGTGTGCCGGAACATTTTTTTATTCTTAAGTGGGCCCTGAGTTGAAAAAGGTTGGGAACCGCTGGTATAGACTATTCTGCACAGTTTCTATCATATTCTCTTTCGATTATTTTCAATTTTATTTTATTCACTTGTACTATTTTATCTGTTTTATTAAGTCAAAAGTCAACGCAGCCGTCAACCAGGACATTTTAGAGCACTTCATGCTTCCTTTTTTTGAAAAGCTGAATGCTGATTTTATTTTCCAGCAGGACTTGGCACTGCCAACATTACTAAGCCCTGGTTGAATGACCATGGACATACTGTGCTTCATTGGTCAGCAAACTCGCCTGACCTAAACGCCATAGAGAATGTATGGGGTATTGTCAAGAGGAAGATAAGAGACACAAGACCCAACGACGCTGACAAGCTGAAGGGCGCTATTGAAACAACCGTGGCTTCCATCACACCTCAGCAGAGTCGAAGGCTGATCGCCTCCATGCCACGCAGTCATTTGTGCAAAAGGAGGCCCAACCAAGTACTGAGAGCAGAAACATGAACATACTTTTTATAAGGCCGACATTTCGGTGTTATTATGACTTATCAATTATGTAATATTATAATTTCCTGAGAAACTGAATGTTGGTTTTTCATTAGCTGTAAGCCGTTATCATCTTGTTAACATGTACCAGTAGATACATGTTCCAGTTGATGGTAAACAAAACACATAAGAACAATATGAGCTGAGATAGTTATTGTTCCACTTAAGAGTTCTTAAAGAAGTTGGTTATTTGATGCTGTTGCATTTCCTCATATAGAACTATATTTGTAATGTTATAATCATAAGAAACCTCATGTTAAAGAGCTAAACAAAATTAAGTACATTGTTCTAAATTAACATTAAAAAAACACAATGTAAAAATGTAATTAAAATAGGGAAATTAAAAAATTGATATTATGTATGCACACATTTCATACATAGTGTGTGTAACATAAGGGAAACAATGTCAAGTTTACATTTACAGATCAGTGCCTCTTAAAAGCCACTCTTGTCCTTTTTATATTTTAATTAGCCCATTAAATCAGCATCAAGTTTTCTGATGAGTGTCAGTGAAACATTACATTACATGTCACTTGTTAGACGCTTTTATCCAAAGCGACTTACATACTCAATACTGTGGGCAATCCCCACAGGAGCAATTTGGGGTGAAGTGTCTCAGGGACACAACGACATGCTGACTGCAGTGGGACTCGAACTTGTTACCCCCTGAATAGAAGTCCAGCACACTACCCACTGAGCCACAGCCTCCCAAACAGTTTAACTAAGCTGTATTTGCCACGCTGTTTGATATAATTAATAGCCTAACTTTGTATAATGAAATGAGTCCTCCTCACCTGGAGACATGTTCACAGCGAGCAACTTTAATGGGAAGCCTGGTTAAACCGCACCCTATGCCCCGGATCATCAGTGTGTTTGCTCCTACCAGAAAACTTCACTTTATTATAATATCATAAACTAAATACAGCTGTTTTTTTACAGGGAGTCCCTGGACACACATGTGGGTCACTTGAAAACAGCTTTTATCAAAGATTTGGTGCATTTGAAATGTTTTCAGTAGAAGAATTAGAGGATAAGCAGCTAAACAGTGCTGGCAACAGCGGGGGAAATGTGACGATTGGAAGCTCCACAAACAAAATTCAGTGAGCATCAGAGCTATACATACTTTCAAAATGAAGCAAATCAAGTCCGCTATCAGTTCCATTAACAGTCATTCTTCAGCACTTTTTCCACAATGACTTTGGAGTCTTTTATCAGTGAAGAGAAAACACAAGTGGCAAAGTTTTCAGACTGCAGAGTGGCGCCATGGGCTTAGTTGAGTCTCCACGGTTCTCATGGTGTGTTTAAGGCCAGCCCCTGCTCTGCTCTCTCCAGCAGTTCAGTCAGACTCGTGTTAGTGTGAGCAGGAACAGAAAACTTGAGCAGAAAATGGCAGAAGTCCCTCCAGCCGCTGCACCGGCCAAAGCCGCCAAGAAGAAGGTTTCCAAGCCGAAGGCAGCTGTCCCCAAAGTCAGCGATCTCATCGTTGAAGCTGTGGCCGCATCCAAGGAGCGAAGCGGCGTGTCTCTGTCCGCCGTCAAGAAGGCTCTGGCTGCCGGAGGCTACGATGTGGAGAAGAACAATTCCCGCGTTAAGACCACCATCAAGAGCCTGGTCGTTAATGGGACACTGGTCCAGATCAAGGGCATCGGAGCGTCCGGATCATTCAAGATAAGCAAGAAGGTTGCCGAGCCTAAGACCAAGAAGCCCGCAGCCAAGAAAGTCGCTCCTAAAGCCAAGAAGCCCGCAGCCAAGAAACCTGCAGCGGCCAAAAAGCCCGCGGCAGGAAAGAAGTCTCCCAAGAAGGCAAAGAAACCCGCAGCAGCCATGAAAGCAGCTCCCAAGAGCCCCAAGAAGGCCACCAAGAGCCCGAAGAAGGTCGCTAAAAGCCCCAAGAAGGTCGTTAAAAAGGCTGCAAAGAGCCCCAAGAAGGTGGTGAAAAAGGCCCCTGCAGTCAAGAAATCCCTCGCAAAGGTCGCCAAACCCAAAGCGAAGAAGGCAGCACCCAAGAAGAAGTGAGCTGTCATCAGACTGATCTGACTAAGATCCACAAAAGGCTCTTTTAAGAGCCACCCATTTTGTCATAATGAGCATATTTCTTGTGTCAATAACTGCAGTCAGAATAATAATGTCATGGTTATTATACTTAAGGGGCAATCCGATTAACAGAAACAGTACTGTTGAATATGTACAAAGTCCAGAAGTGTAGTTAGCGCTATAACCAGCCCATCACACACTACAGCCACCGTTCATCCACAGATTCATGCCATTATCTTCCAAACTGTTTCTTTTGCTTTATTTCTGTTTCCATACTTGAATATTATTATACCAGTGGCCAATCTTCAATTATTTAATTTAAATGTTGTGGATTGCTTTGTTCTGAAAAGGTCATTTATTTTATATGTAGAACATTTTTATAATAATAAAACATAAATAAATACATTAACAGCTGTCAGTCTGCAAAAGCACCCTGCATATATCTCTGATACTTCTTTATTATTTTTTTTAGAAAACTTTATTTTATATTATTTGGGCAGTACATGATATAAAAAATGTACATTAATAATACACTCTTAAAACTACTGGGTTAAAAAATAACCCAATCATAACCCAGCTGCTGAGTCACTATAGGACAGAACACACGCTGGGTTGTCTTAACCAATATTTTCGTTTACTGTCCTATAGTATACATTGGAATGATTTCAAACCTGTTTATCCCAATAATTATAAAGGACTGCCTTGGAAATATGTGTTTACATAAATTGTGATCAAAACGTTTGAGACCCACTGAGATAACTTAGACCAGTGATTCTCAAATGGGGGTTCGCGGACCCCTAGGGGTACGTTGGGGTACTGCAGGGGGTACGTGAGATTTATAAAAAAAGAAAAAAAAATGAATTAAAAAAATACCATGCATGATTACAAAAATAATCTTAGTACAATAAGTTAAATAGAAAACACCATCCATCCATCCATCCATCTTCTTCCGCTTATCCGTGGTCGGGTCGCGGGGGTAGCAGTTCCAGCAGAGAGCCCCAAACTTTATTTTCCCTGGCGACATCAACCAGCTCTGACTGGGGGATCCCAAGGCGCTCCCAGGCCAGCGAAGAGATATAATCCCTCCACCTGGTCCTAGGTCTACCCCTTGGTCTCTTCCCAGCTGGACGTGCCTGGAACACCTCCCTAGGGAGGCGCCCAGGTGGCATCCTAACTAGGTGCCCGAACCACCTCAACTGGCTCCTTTCGACGCGAAGGAGGAGCGGCTCAACTCCGAGTCCCTCCCTGATGACCGAACTTCTCACCTTATCCCTAAGGGAGACACCAGCCACCCTGCGGAGAAAACCCATCTCGGCCGCTTGTATCCGCGATCTCGTTCTTTCGGTCATGACCCATCCTTCATGACCATAGGTGAGGGTAGGAACGAAAATGGCCCGGTAGACAGAGAGCTTTGCCTTCTGGCTCAGCTCCCTTTTCGTTACAACGGTGCGGTAAAGCGAAATAGAAAACACAATTGTATATAAAATATTCCTAGAACCACCAAGGGGGTCCTCATATAAACTTGGTGTATTGTATTTTATAGTTTTGCATAATATATCATTGTGTTCATTGGTTTGTTAAACAGATATTACTTCAGTTGAAAAACTCCTTTGAAAAATCAGTTTCAATTTGTTTTCTTTTTTCATGCATAAAATGAAAATATCCTTAGTTTGTTGTAAAGGAGTTAATAAATCACACACTGAGGGAACATCACTATATTGGAATTATTTGTATAGGCTTTTTTGATCAAACATTTTCGGGGTCGGTCAGGGGGTACTTGGCTGAGAAAATGTTTCAAAGGGGGTACATGACTGAAAAAAGTTTGAGAAGCACTGACTTAGACTAAAGTGAACTATCTAAACACTCGGAGTCCTTTACCTCACTGAGCTGTAGTATCAGCCTCTCAGTCTGACTGGAGAGGACTCTCCCTCCACATTATTGTAGAAACATCTTCTTCCGTTAGAGCAGCTAGCACCAGATGCTAATAACAACAGCGCCGGAACCGGTGCACCCTCCCTCGCTCCCACGCTCACTCGCACTTTGGCTGTGAGCTGCGGGCGCCAGATAAGCCAACATCCCCCATTTTCATAACTTACAGCGCCCATCGTACAGGGCAAATTAAAAGTGTAACCGGGATGAAAAGGGTGTTACATTTACTTAATTATGAATATTGTTACATCAAGGCAGAACATTAGGATAAGCCCCGACGGTCAAAAATGTATGTTTCCCTCCCAGAGCTTCCAGCGTTGCGCCTCCACAGATCTGGCGCCCTAGGCGAACATCTATAACGCCAGCGCTACGGGCCAGCCCTGAGTTCATATGCAACTCGCAAATATATGTCTCTCTCTCCTTTCATCTCTCTTCTCTCTTTTCTCTTCTCCCTTCTCTCTCTTCTCTCTCTCCCCTCTCTCTCTCAATGTTGGTACGCAAATGCGCCTTTTTTCAAATGACCCGCTGCTCTTTTTTTGGCGGAGGTGCGCATGCGCACCTGCGCACCAGTTATGTGCAGCCCTGGTTATACTACTACTACTACTACTCCTACTTTAAAATAAGATCACTTACAAAAAAGTAGTCATTCATGTGCAAGCTGAACAATATTATAGACCTATCTATAACATAAATTACAATGAGACGTGCAGCGGATGTTAATGTCAGACGCCCAAAACAAAGCGAAAGATGCAACACAGCTCTACATGCAAAGGCTTTGAGAGCTTATACAGTAACAGGAATATTTATATGATATGTGAGTTGCGAACCTGTATTATATATAGATATACCTGTATTTACTGTGTGAGTACTTCCTATTGCAACTTTTTTTTAAATGGTAAATGATTTCAAATATGGAGGTGTTATAACATACAAAAACCTAACACCTGATGAAGGTAACGAAGTCTTGAAATGAGTGAAAAGTAAACAGTTATCAGAGAGCATGAGAGACGTGAGGTGGCTGATATCAGTCAACAGACTTGCGGTCAGAGCTGTGGTTTCATGGAGCTGCTATGTGAGAACTAGAACATGTCCCAGGGTTAACTGTGAGGAGGACGAGACTAGCACTTACTCATCACTGTACCCTGTATGCCAAGGCAGGTCTGCCAACACTTACTGTTCGGAGACTCAGTCACTGGTACATGTTCATCTACAAAGCCATGTTGGGTAAACTACCTTCTTATATCTCTGATCTCTCAACAAATTGAAAGTACTTATTGCCGGAGATCTCATGATGTGGTTTTATTAAATGTGCCAAGTGCCAGGACTGTCTTAGGGAAGAAAGCTTTTAGTTGTGCAGCTCCACTAACTTGGAACAGTCTGTAAACATGTTTAAAACTGAGCACTTTGGTTCCCCTGCATCATTTTAAAACTCGGCTGGGTGACATGCTGTTTGATACTCATGGTACCTGTCACTGTAAATAGAGTTTGTAAACTGTACCCTGTAAATTATGTTGTATGTCGTCCTTATTGTTTTTTATTTTACATGTGTAACTAATGTGTCACCCTTGAAAAAGAGATATTTTGATCTCAAGGGGCTTCACCTGGTTAAATAAAGGCTACAAACAAACAAGACTTTACAGCACCTCCTTATGGACTGCTTATATAGCATATATATATGTATAGTATAGAGCGAGTCAACTTCTGTGTTGGAAAAGTTGTAATTATAACGACTGGTCTCTGTCGCCTTTATATAGTGTGAGCTGGGGCGGCAACGACACTGATTGGTCCAATGTTATCACGTGATACAGCAGCGCGCCTAGAAGAAACAACATTTTTTTTTCTCCACAACTTTATTTAAAACTCAATGTACAAGAGTCAAATGATTTAAATCATAAAAATAAACAATGTTTTTTCTTTACATTCAATACAAACTATATAATTAGGATTAAACACTCGATTACTAAATTATGAATAACATCAGTCATCATTTATAAATTATATTCTTTAAATACTGTTTATGGCTTTACTATTTTCTGCTTGACTAAATGATTGTTATAAATATACACATCCATTATCTATTGACTTTATTTGAATAAAAATACATTTGTATTAAAAAGATAATATTTCATTTATGATGTATTAATTGTATGAAATGAATCCCTACAATAACACATTGATATTGGTCCTGCTTTTCTACTGGCCATACTCACATTTATAAGATTTAAAAATGACCATATTGTGTAGCTAGTGATTGGCCAGTATAAAAACAATTAAATTCAAAGTGCTTGTGTATTATAACTATGTAAATGTCTAATGTATAATAATTATAATATATTTTCTATAAAACACTTTAGTATATTGTATGCTATAAAGTGTTTATAAAGTAAAGCAAACTTGTATCAAGGTAGGGTACTTTAGATATGCGATTATTATGTTAGATGTAACTTGTGATAAATGGGTAAGAATATTTGCCATTGTGGTAAATACCATGCGGTATGAGATCATGGAACATGTTCAATAACACATGGGAGCAGTATGTCGTTTCCTTCAATACACCAAATATGTGAAGAACGTTTTCTTTATAGGGTTTTATTTATGCAACATTATAATCAGTGGCGTTTTTATATGTACAAAAGTGGTGGGGCACACAAAACTTAGATGTCTATATATAAGCTTCTGCAGTGAGGTTCATGGCTGGTGAGGCTCTGACTCTTCAGGTTTACAAATATTATATTTTGACCTAAATCAAAATATCATATTATTTTCAAAAGCTTTTTTTGTCTGATGCTTCAATTCATTTTAAACAGACAGTTCAACAAAAGGATACCCAAAAAATGTAATTGTATCATTTAAATATTGAATTGTTCTCTCTTAGTAAGATCCCATTTTCAATCAAATTGCAGTCTTACCTTGACATGAAGATGAAGTCCATTTGCCTATCCTTCTGGACAAAAATCTCTATTACTTTTTTGTAAAAGTCCTCCTTATGTTCTTGTAGTTTCAAAAGTCTATCATAAATCTGATCTAATCAATAGATTTATGATTCGAAAATTATAAAAGTAGGGTAGACATGTGGATATTATCCGGCTGAACAAAACGTGCATTTATCTAACAGGTTTGTTTCCCACAGATCTTATTTGGAGCTATTTTCTAAAATCCTATGGAGAAATATCATTGCTTTTTTGTGGAGGGAAGCCATGCGCAGTTTATTTCCGGGTTTTAGGATGCGTCACTGCAGCTCTCTCTCCTCCTCTTCACACACCACACTTTTGGCGGCACAGGTACTTACAGCCAATCAGCTCTGAATTATGTGAGATGACGTATGGTGGGGATGGCAGCACTATGCCCCTATGGTCATTATTTTTTTGCCACACACATTAAATAGGACAATACTCTGAGCATGCGCAGTGTAGTTTTTACAGTCACCATTGACTTAAACAGGGAGAGGGAGGGGCAGGATCGGGTTTTGTCACACATGGCTCAAAACAGCTCAATAGGCACACACTGTA